CTGCAACCCCGGATGGTGGTTCCAGGAGAAGAAGGGTCTGCAACAGGAAGTCCCCAAGACAGACTGGACCTTCATGGTGACAACCTGAAGAGAATTTAGTGCTTGTCAGTGAGCATGGCAGTCCTTAGAGCAGCCATGGAATAGCGGGCCGGTGCCAGGGTCCTGGGTGGGCCCCGGGGAGCGGGGGGGGGGGGGGAGGTAAGCAGCAGGAAGGAGCCTCAGCTTTTATTTCAGCAAAGCAGTAAGAGGAGGAAATAAAGCCATAAGGGAGGGGACAGAATCCTAGACCTAGACAGTTCAGAGAAGAAACCAGGAAGGACCCAGACTTGGAGTCCCGAGGATCAGCACAAGCCATTCCAGAGCTTTCCAGTAATCTATTTAAAAAGGAAAGACAAAACCATCTCACTCCGGGTACCCCCAAAGGACCCCCACTCGAAGACAGGAACTACCCAGGGGACAGTGCAAAAGGCAGGCTCTAGCATGTGGTCTTGCAGGATCATTTTAGTCAAATTAATTTAGAAAATTTGCAGCTCCAATCAAAATCTTGGAGAAGTTTTTTTTTAATATAAGTTCAGGGTCACAAAGAAAAGAGATCATTACTCCAAAGAAATTGTCTGGACAAAGCAAACTTCACTGTTGATCAAGAAGATGTTAGGAAGAGTGAACTCGAAGGCAGGAACTGAGGATGTCTTTCCCACACTGGCTGAGGTCTGACCTCACAGGCTTATTCAACTGGCTAGTCTTAAAAGAATCACTCATTACTTTATGTGTGCGGGTGTTTTGCCTGCATGTAGGCATGTATACCACACACGTCTGGTGACCACAGAGGCCAGAAGAGGGCACCTGATACCCTGGAACTGGAGTTACAGATGGCTGTGACCATCATGTGGGTGCTGAGACAGAAGCTGGGTCTTCTGAAAGAACAAGTGCCTCACTGCGGAGTCGTCTCTCCAGCCCAAATTATAGTTAAATTAGCTTACAAAGGAGTGGGTTTCTGATGTGGGATTCCCCTCCATATACTGTGAATACCATTGGTTAATAAAGAATCTGCTTTGGGCCTATTGCAGCGCAGAATAGGGCAAGGTGGGAATTCCAAGCGGATAGAGGAGAGAGTAGGCGGAGCTGAGGAGAAGCCATGTAGCCACCCACAGGAGACAGATCCTGGATGCCAGATGGAACCTAACTGGAAGGCCACAACCATGTGGCGATACACAGATTAATAGAAATGGGTTCATTTAAGATATAAGAGCTAGCCAATAAGAAGTGTGAGCTAATAGGCAGGTCTGGGCGACCAGGAACGAACGAGCAGCCTCTGCCAACAGGTTTCCATAAGGAATTTCTTTTTTTTTAAAATTTAATGTATTCAGGATTATGCCATTTTCACTGGCATATTTATTGAAACAATAAGTCAGTTTCTAAATGGAACAAACTCAACCATATCCATACTATAAAAATTCACAATTATGAATAGGAATAAGCAGAATAAATATTTAGGTTACAATGATAATTTAAAGGATGCGCGGTGCGCGCGCGCGCACACACACACACACACACACACACACACACACACACACACTTATTTTGAGACAGGGTCTCTTTATGTCCTCCTACCTGTCCTGGAACACATTCTGTAGAACAGACTGACCTCAGACACACAGAGATCCTTCTGCCCCTGCCTCCCAAGTGCTGGATTTAAAGGCAGGCATCACTATGCCCAGCCTTTCATCATATATATTTTTAGACACTAAAATATGTATTTATTGTGTAGGTATGCATGTGTGTGCATGTCCACGGGGCACGTGTGACAAGAGGATGACCATACAGAGCCATTTCTCTCTTTCCAGCAAGAAGATTCTGGGGTTGGACTCAGGTCCTCTCTGGCTTGATGGAAGCGCCTTTACCTGCTGAGCCATCCCCATGGTCTCTCCAGTGGACTCTTCCTGTATTAAGTAGGTATTTTTTTTTTAAAGTATACTTTTTCTTTTCTTTTTCTTTCGGGGAGAGGGCAGGGTTTGTGTAGTCCTGGCTGCCCTAGAGAGGATTATAAAATGGGAGGAGACAGTCCTCAGACAGTCTCATTTCAAAATTCCTGGAGGCAGGATCGCCATTTCAGACTGAGGTCGAGGTAAGAGCCAGTGGCTGGCTGCTTTGCTTTTTCAGACCTTCAGGTTGAACCCTAATTTCTCTGAGTTTTTATTAATCATGTATCAATCATGTATAAATGAACACCTTCCCTGGTGCACTGGGCTCATCCCAGAACAGTCGAGTGCTCCAGGGAGGTGGCCAGGATACAGGGAGGCCGAAGACCAAGGGCTGTGCCTCCGAGCAGCCCTTAGTCCCTTCTCTCTGGCTGTGACAGTCACTCCCCAGCTTTCAGATGTTTCATTTCGCAGCAGAAGTTGGGGTGCTCCTCCCAGTGTGTAGAAGTACCCACAGATGGGCGTCCAGCGTGTCTGCCTGGGCGGCACTCACTGCCCACCTGAGAAGGGTGCATCTTGTACCCTGCCAATACGAGGCAGGTCCTGGGCCTGACCTGTGGCTATCCTTCACTGTAGCTGACAGTGCTTTCCTGGGCTTTATTAACGACCGTGTCAGCAGCTGGCGCGGAAAGCTGCCACTGTCTTCAGGTGATAGATCACAAAGGGCCTTCGTGGCTATTTATTTCTAGTGACCCCGTCTCCCCTCCACTCTAGCTCGCTTAAGAGTTATGAAGGTGAAGTGGGATAATTTGATATCGATCTATTTGCTGAGCTAAATTGACCACATGGTGGACGTCAGCAAGGGCACTCAGCTCTACTAGGGCAGGTGGAGGTGGCTCGGTATCCCTGCTCATGGCCACAGTGGGGAAAGGACAGGGCCCAGCATCGAGGGCCTGGGTCCTAGATACTGGGGAAGTGAGTCTTCTTGGGTATGGGAAGGTTCTGCCAGGGCCGTGAGCCACCAGAACTGTACCCGTAGGATTGTGACGAGCATGACAAGGGGTGCTTCCCTCTCTGGCCAGGGATGGAATGTCTAGAAAACAGCCAACCTGAAGGCACCATACAGAGAATGGCAAGAGAATGTGTATGTGTGTGTGTGCGTGCGTACATACATGTGTGAGATACATGCACAAAGGCACAGATCTGTGGCTCTGCTGTTTACTCTGCAGATCTAAACTGGTGCAGTCTCCGGCTTTAGGTCTAAATGATGGTTCCCTGGCATCTTTCCCTACGCTGGGCCACATCAGGGCTGCAGACATCTGCACTACCAGTGAGGATGCAGGGAAGGGTCTACATGGCCCAGGGCCCTTGGGCTTCCTGCTGTCCGCTCAGCAGGGGAGTGCCTGGCTGCCCTCCTGCTTCCAGGTACACAAGGCTTTCCTGTCAAGGTCTTGATGGCACTGGCCAGGAGTCAACAGAGTAGGTGTGCACAGAGGGGTGCCTCCTCCTGTGACCATGTGAGGGGGCTTTCTGGAAACTTGGGGACTCAGGTCTGTGTTGGCTTGTAAAACTGCTCTGGAAAGTAGGTTCCTGGCTTCTGCAGAGTGATAGCAAAGGCAGTCAGGGAAGCCAGGGACTGGGAGGCAAACTTAAGGGCAGCTGGGAGGATGACAACCTAAGCTCCATGACCTGTGGCCATGGCCTGAGCATCGCGACGTGAGGAACCCTTTCATGGTGGCTCTCTTCACTTCCTTTCTGGTGCCTAGGCCTAACACACAAGTCAACCTTGCTTAGGCCATGGGTGTGGCTTATAGTCAGCCTTACCTCCCACCATTCCTGAGGATGTTTTGCCTTGGCCTTTGACTCCAAAGTCTTGGGCCCAGCAGGAGCTATGGTGTTTCCTGAGCAAGATGGTTTAATACAGAGTGAGCTGCAGACGAAGCAGCCCAGGGTGGCTCCCGAGGGCTGCGCTGGGATTCTCTGGGAATCCTGCCACCAACCCCAGGGAGCACAGCCACCAACATGGACTGGCCTCTGGGAGGACCAGACTTCCGACAGGTCCTTATGCATCCTGGTTTCTGGGGACAGAGCACCTTCCATTCACTGAATTATAGTCCAGTCTGGCGAGGAGTGTTACCTGGCTTGAGTGCTGCCGGTGGCAATGTCAGAGGCTCCATTACCCCTGCTTGCTCCTGGCCCTCATTTGATGTCTGCAGATTGTGGAGAATCATGTATGGGAACATGGCTATCACTGTCACAGAAGTGGCCCCAGAAGGAGAGAGATAGGAGGATGGGGAGGGGAGAGGAGAGGAGAGGGAAGGAGAGAGAGCGAGAGAACATGTTTCTCCATGTGCACATAGCCAAGCAGGCAGGATACCCACAGTGCCTGGGGGCCTGGGGGATGGAGGTCAGGGAAGCTTTCAGATGTGGACACAGCAGAGAAGGAAGGTCTGAGAAGCAGGCAACAAAGGGGACAGAGCACCGAGAAGAACCAGAAAGACCCTAAATTGGGGTGAGGCAGGGTCAAGGCAGGGAAGCTACAGGGCCATCTGGGGACAGCCTTGGGTGGCTGTTTGACCACACAGACCACAGTTCCGAGGTGAGAGTCCCAGCAGCAGGAATCCAGGTCCAGGGGGTTGTAGGTGGCTGGAGGTGTGTGCGTGCAGACATGTAACCTGTACGTCACAGTCAGGGAGCACAGAACATTGTCTTCTGTCTTTATTTCATCTCTTTTCTCAGCGTCACCTCTGCCTCTCTGGGACCTGCCCTTGGGAGTCAGCAGCCTTGGGCACTGGGAAGATGGCCACACACTGGACAGTCACGCCCGTACTGTGCTTGCGAGACTGACATACATCAGAGATCTCAAGGACAACTGAGGACACAGCCAATGATCAGGGTCACCGGAGTTTGGACAATCAGCCTGGGTGATTCCATCCCAGTGTTTTTGATTCTGGTCGACTTGATTGCAGGGGAGGGGGTTGCTTCCGTCTAAGGGTCTTTGGGCCCACTGCAAGGCCACAGCACATGATCGTCAGGGGATGTCTGCTGGCCTCTGGCCTCGGCCCCCCGGCTCCCCTGGTCACGAGGGGTAGAATTGTCTGAGTAGTTCCTTCTTATTCACCTTGCCCATCTGGTTCCGTGGGATTTCCTCCACCAGCAGGAGCTCGGAGGGCACAGCATAGGGTGCCAGGACACCTCTGTAGAGACAAGTACAGCCTGAGATGATTGCCCAACTCTGGGGGAATTGTGGGCACTGGATACACCCAGCAGCCATTGTGGGCTCACCCAGACTCTGTTGGGTGGTAACGGTATGGCCACCTTGCCCTTTGGAGGGAAGACTGTTCCCTGCCTTCTGGCTCCAAGGCCTGCGAAGTTAGGTGGTGGAAGGCAGCAGACTGACTGACTGGACACAGTGAGAGGAGAGAGCCAGGGAAGGAGGAGGCAGCGGGGTCCCTGGTCTCATGCTGCCCTGGAGGGAACTGACCACAGGCTTGCCTGACGCTGTTCCCTTCCGAGGTGACTCTGGCACAGCAGAGTGGCCCCTGTAGGTGACAAGCACGGTTAAGTATGAGAAGTCACCACCAGAATTTAATCAGATGGGGACAATCCTCTTGGTAGGAGAAAGCTGCAGTCCTGACCAGAGTCTCAGCTGGCACAGAGACAGGGGTGTACTCTGAGCACAGGTGACCCCGGCAGGTGTTCTGTTCCAGTACAGGGACAACCTACGCAGAGATCATGTGTGAGGCCTGGAGTAGGACCCTAGCCTGCCCTAAGTTCCAGACCAGAGGCAGCTGGTCTAGACTTTACCCAGGGCCGGGACACATTCAGGATTTCTAACTTCAGACACAATCTTTACACTTTAGGCCACGCGTGGGCTTCTAGGTCACTGTGCTCCTACCTGAAAACCCACTAGCGCTTATGCTACAAGCAGATGCCGATGACGCTTATGTGACAGCTTTCCCGGTCATCTGAAGTGACTGCTCAGACACCCCAGCAGAGCTAGGCGCCCTGTGGCACTTGGGCCTTGTTTCTCCACCCACCTCCCTATGATTTTTACCCCAGAGACTCCTTGTAGAGACCCCACAAGGGACCCCAGGCCTCCCAGCGCCCATCTCCCTCTGTGCAACTCTGGTCCTGTTCTGCTTCCTGGTGCCCCCACCTTTCTTCTTTAGTCTCGTTACGTTTGCCTAGCCTGTGTACTTCTGTGTAGAAACTGGGCAGCTTTTTACATGGAGGTTTTGTGCAGTGTGATATGGGGGCTGTGTACAAACCTCCACAGTGCAGTGATGTGGCCAGCGGGCACCCAGAACCACACAGGGAGGCACGGCACAACCACTGTCTGGCCCCATCACAAGTAACAGACATGTTAACATCAGATGAACTGTATGTCTGGCTGGGACTGGAAAGAGGCGGCAGGGGGTGCTTGTTCCTGAGCACAGGAGAGATGCCCATTCTTAGAGCACACATCTTTCCCCGGCTCGGGGTGTCTCTTCTCTTATCCTGCTGAGAATTTCCGCAGTGGCACTGGGATCTAGACATGTGCTCTCTGTGTCTACGGGAACAACTGCGCGGCTTTTACTCTGTAAACATGGCACGCCACATGGATGGATTTCTGAATGTTTAACCTCACATTCCTGGTATAAATGCCACACGATCATGATGCGTTGGCTCTTTTGTGAATGGGACCTAATTTCCAGCATTTGGTTAAGCATTATGTGTCTGTCTGACAGGAAACTGGTCTGGGTTTCTTGTCTGGTTTTGGTAGCAGGGTCGTGGGTCCCATGAAGTCAGCTGGGAGTGTCCCTCCCCACTGGAAAGGACTTTTGTGCACTTCTCGGAGTGTCCCTCGAGGATACTTATCTTCTGGTGAAGCTTTTGGCTGGGAATTGAGCTTCACAGACACAGAGCTCTTCAGCCTCTGGCTTCTGGTACCCACACCACCGGCACTAACAGTTACAAGGACACATGCCAGGCTGTGGCACCTCCTGGAGAACACTGGGCTGCGGTGAGGTCACCCTGTAGATAACAGTGACACCTGGGCTCTCTCTCATCTCACAGCTCAGGCCGGCTTTGAACTTGCTATGTAGCTAAGACTGGGTTGAACTCTTCTCCTGATACTTCCGTGTCTGCCACCTGGGTGTTTAAGTCACAGGTGTGTGCCACTGTGCCCAGCTTTCCCTTTCAATCGATGTGGAGAAAATATGGTGCTTTCTTTGTTAGTTTCCTCGCCAGACACCGTCTCTTTCTGGAGCCTCAGGGTGAGCACTCTCATCTCTCCTCCTACCTGCCTCTCTTTAGTGGCAACTGGACAGCCCAGCACTGTGGCCTGAAACAGTATGGTCAACAAGGCTCCGGGGAGAAAGTATGGGTCACAAGTAGCAAGCAGCACCCCTCCACCAGGCACGGATATGACATCACGTGAGGCTGGGCCTCGAGGCCTCTGTTAGTGGCAGGCCAGCCTTCCCTTGCAGGAGGCACCTGGAAGCGTGGACACTGTTCTTTGGGGAGTGGGTAGGTCTGGGGGTTACAAGTGGGGATCTCTCTTCAGGATCCCCCAAAAAACAAGTTGTGGGGTGGCTACCCACAATGGGGACAAAATCTGAGGGGCAAGCATTTTTCCTGGGACAGTCTGCATCCTGGCCCTGCTCACATGTCTGACAATCTTCCTTGCATTGTCTTGTTCTATACCAACTCCCAGGATGCTCCAAATCTCAGCTCCCCATTTTAGAGTGTTCTCATGCTCACCATGCACCTGAATACCCAAGCAAGGAGTCTGACTTAAGCCTTAGAGAAAGGTCTTGAGGGGAAGCACTCAGAGCGCAGGAGCCACAGACTTGTGCCATGGAAGCAGGCCATAACCTATGGAATCCAGGCCAATGTAGGACCTCCACCCAACAACTACTGTGGCTCTCAGTAGAGGATGCCTGGGTGTTTTTCTTCTCAAGAAAGTAATTGTTTAATCAAAGCAGCGACCGGCCAAGCAGACTGTTGCCTCTGCTAAGCTACAGAGCTCCAACTGTGATTTTGCAAATCCAGGGGAATCGGTAATTGCCCAGCTGTGCGGCCCCTGATGAAACAAGGACTCCTGCTGTTTGTGAAGTCTTGTTGGACAGCCAAAAATAGTCTTACGCTGAGAAGAAGGCAGGGGGGTGGGGCAGGAGACACAGCAGAGAGGAGAGAACTTCTCAGATTCAGATTTAAGAGAAGGAACCCAGAGGTATCCCATGGGCCATAGTGGAAGCTCAAAGAGGCCCGCTCTGCTCAGGCCCCAGTGAGTCTCCTTCTGTCCTGTGGATCCTGACATAACATCGGAAGCCACCAGGGGCTGAGATGAGGAAAACTGGATATAACACAAAGAATGGGAGGTGGGGAAAAAAAGCCAGTATGCTGGCAGTGGCACAAGCCTTTAATCCCAGCTCTCACGAAGCAGAGACAAGTAGAGCTCCGAGTTCGAGGCCAGCCACTACAGAGCAAGTTCTGGGACAGCCAGGGCTGCTACATAGAAACGCCGTTTCAAAATAAAAAACGAGACAAGCAAGTACAGGTGACAGGATGGACAAAGCCCCTACCCTGGGTCTGAGGAGGGAGCTGCAGGCACCATCCACAGGCATTGAGAGCTGGGGGCACACCAGACTCTGAAGGCCCCACAGAGAGGGTGAGGCACCGAGCCACCCTCAGGGCAGGATCAGAAAAGACTGCTGGGCCCAGGCCATTCTGCAGCAGGCTGTGCAAGTTTGGCTGCTGCTCAGTTCAGCACAGGATTAGCCAGGCACTTTCCTGGGGTCCTCAGCCTCACTATGCTTTGGGGTTTACAAGCTGAGAAACACGTCTGTTTGGACTACTGTTGACTCCCAACCATTTGCATGTGGAAGCCCTTTCTGGTCCCAGGTCTGCAGGAAAGACACAGAGCTGTTCAAGGGCCACTTTGCTGACCTTCTCAGCTTCTTCCTCCCCATTTCCAAATTCCAGAATGGTCCACCCCTGCTTTCCAGTTCCTAGATAGGCCCCTCCCATCCTCCCGATTCCAAGATTCTTAGATACCCTAGAACCCAGGTCAGTCCCTTTAGCCCTACCTGGCCCACTCCTTGAGATCCTTGTGGGACAGTGAGTGTCCTTCTTGAAGGACTACCACAGCTGTGACCCGCTGGCCCCACGTCATATCCGGAACTCCAATCACAGCCACATCTGAAGACAGTAGAACAGGTTGAGGACACCTGGGAAGGCCCTGATGACCACTCAACAGCACTCAGGAGTGTGTGGGGGATGGCAGGCAGTTAACCGCAGTGCCCAAGCGCCTGGAGCAAGACCCTCATGGGGGTGGGGCGGCATCTCTAGGGGCTCAGTCTGCTCTTGCTCAATCTGCAGAGCAGGCGTGCATTCTGGGATTGCCATTAGGAATCGGTGTGCTGAAGGCCAGGGAAGGGGTGTGATCACATTTTACAGGATCCCCACTAGCAGCTGGGAGAGTAGAAAAGGGGGCACTGGGTCTTGGGGGCAGTGCTCTAAGAAACCCGAGGCCACCATTCACTCACCGGTGATGCTGGGGTGGGCCAGCAGGTGCCGCTCAATCTCCAGGGCGCTGACTTTGTAGCCTCCAGTCTTGATGATGTCCACTGATGTACGCCCTCGGATCCAGTACCTATCGTTCTTGAACACGGCGGTGTCCCCTAGGAAAGAGGGTTCTGTGACAGCTCTGGACAGTCTGGGAGTACCTGGTGCTCGTGACCATCACCCACAGGAGTCCTCGGGGACTGCATGCACACGTGTGAGTCCCACTATTCCCAGGGTCCAGACCCACTTGCTGTGGGGACTGGTTCTAATGGCATGTGTCCCTCTCCATTCTCTATCCCTACGACACTGGCACCCGAGGAGCCAGCAATGAGGAGCGGATCCCACCAGAATCCATGGCATGCTAGGAACCTATTGTGCCTCTGGGGTCTGTAAATACCCTGAACTCATAAGCCAGTGTGCAGCATTTTCAAAAGAAAGCAGCAAGCAGTTTGCTGCCTATGACTCTGACTCAGGATCTACACCAGGAAAGCAGAAGCCTTGACCCTGACACAATTCATGCACAGCTTCACACAGATGCGTGCAGGGCACCCTCCTGCCGTGTCCCCTCCTCTGCACACTCTATCATCCTAGCATGGGTGGGTCCTGCGTGAAAGGACGGCCATTTTCAGCTCCTCCTCCAACATGGGGATGCCCTGTGATGAGGACCCTCCTGCTCTTCTGCCCTTGATCCCCGCCATTCCAAAACAGTTACAGTGATTTTTCTCCCTAAGGGGAATAACCGCCCCACCTACTCTTTTCACAGGGGAGCCTGGGACCCAGGGAGCTTGTTACACCCCACGGAACACTGGCAGGGCCAGGAGCAGGCACCAGAGCACAGTGTATTCCCAGCTGAGGTTCCCTCCTGCACAATGGCATGGGGGAGGTGTGTGCGTCTGCACATTAGTGCGTATGCATGTCCATGCACGCACATTTGCATGGTTATGACTGTGTGCAGGCATGCAGATGCCAGCGGCAGCTCTGACAGCAGCGGTGTCTGTTCACACGCTCCCTGCACTCCCTGTGGGTTATTAGCTGGAATAAATCATAAATATTTCATTATACATCACGCAGTCCGTCAGGAGAAGGCACCATCCATCACCTCCTTACTCCCTGGGACTTGCAGTGCAGGGCGCACTCCAGTCTATTAAACAAGATGGATGGGTGGCCTGGACGAGCCCAGGGCTTATTTATGGTGGAGAGGGAAGGCTGGCCTCTGGAGCAAGGACTGGCACTGGGCAGTTCTCTCTCCGGTGTGGCAGCTCTCTATGTAGCAGGTGGCAGGAGAGCTGGGGGGACAGCCACAGCCTAGACTAGGCTAGCCCCTTGGGCAGGTACTACCTGAAGGGAAAGGACCCAGGTGTAGGCTATGGGGTATACATGGCTTGTCCTGAGTCCTAAGGGACCCTCTATGATTCCATTCCTGCTGTCACTCTGGATCCAGCTGTGCCCACTCAGACTGGAAAGCTCAGTCTTCCACTGGCTCCCCCACCCTGTAGGCGTCAAGCAGCCTGGCATTGAGGGTCCCTCTGAGGAAGCTTCTGAGGCTGCTCCCCACAGGCCTCCACTCAGTCAAAGATGCAGCACAGCAGAGCCACTGCCCTGCCTTGAACATAGCCTCTCTTTGTGGTCCTACAAGAGGTGCCATGTGCCAGGCAGTGGTGGTGCATGCCTTTAATCCCAGCACTCGGGAGGCAGAGGCAGGCGGATCTCTGTGAGTTCGAGGCTAGCCTGGTTTAGGACAGCTAGTTCCATGACAGGCTCCAAAGCTACAGAGAAACCCTGTCTTGAAAAACCAAAGTGTCATGCTGCGCACTTGCAAAGCTCTGGGCAGTCCCAAAGTATGACTCTCCTAGTGCCCCATGCTGCAGGTTGATCTGGTGAGAGCCCTTGGGATAAAAAATTCTGTATATGTCAGGCAGTGGTGGTTCCTTTAACCCCGCACCTCAGGAGGCAGAGAGAGGCAGATCTCTGTGAGTTCAAGGCCACCTGGTCTACAGAGTAAGTTCCAGGACAGGGAGGACTCCAAAGAGAAACTTTGCCTTGAAAAAATAATTCTGCACACACGAGTTCCTGTTTTGGGGCCGTGCTCCCATGCTGCAGAGAAAAGGCTTTTCTTCCATGCTCTTGAGAAAGAGATCTGGGCATCACTGGGCACAGTCTGTTCTCTAGGTGGACTTAGTACCAGTAAGTGCTTGATTGGTTCTTGCTTGTGATATACAGGATCACGTATTTGGGGAAGTTAGGGTGACTGCTTCTCAGGGAGGAGATGCTGTGGACAAGAGAGGGGAGAACGTTTGACTAGCGTTCTGTGCAAACGGCTGGAGTGAGGAGGAACTACGAGATCAGCAGCAACAGGAAGCTCCCTGCCTGGGGGAGGCTGTACAGAGCGCCATGGCTGCTACACAGCAAACACCTGCCATGGGAATGCTGGGTGCACTCAGAGGACACTGGATCTGCAAAGCCACCGCCTAAGCATGGTAACAGTAGCTGCCATGGGTACAAAGGACTGGTACAGTTCATGGCTTAGGGACAATGTAGGATGATGGGTGCTGGTGTCCGTCTACCTCAGTTTCCCCTCTGGATGAAAGGTGCCCTGTGTCAGCAGCATTACTGGGAAGATGGAGGTAAGAACTGAGCAACTTCCTTGACTTGGCTATCCTTTCTAAACTTACATGTTACCTCATGCTCTGTGTACAGAACCACTCTGTAGTGTAACTATGGAGACCACGCCTGGGGCTTCCCTCTGCCCAAGGCCACGCTGCTCACAGCTCGTCACTCCCTACAGCCCAGAGGGCCTCCACTCCAGTGTGTTCTCACAGCTCTGACAGCGCTGACTAAGGAGTCTCAGTCACCGGGCTGTGCTTGGCCTTCATCAGCCTTGGCCGTGGGGACAGCCCCAATCTCTATAGCTGCTGCCTACACCCAGGTGACAGGATGAGAAAGGCCAGGCTCCTGCGGTACTCTGGTCAGGAACCAACACACAGGACGCCACCAGTCCAGGCCTCCACTTCTGCTTGGATGACTGGATTCCATTCTCCGAACAGTCATGCTCACTGCAGAATCTGATGCAGGGCAAGGAGCCTAGGTCTCCCATCTACCGGAGCGGGGCCCATGCCTTTTGCAGTGTGGTACAGTGGCAGCTCCATGGCACCAGCCATGGTTTTGCTCTTGCCATTGCCTGAGTCTTGGGGACACCAATCTCTTCAGGCCACGTGCTGTCCTTGGACCAGCAGAGCCTGCTGACGTCGAGGTCTTGTAGGCTGGAGGAAATGACGAGCTATACCCAGCATGGCACCAGGCAGAGGTAAAGCCCAGGGTGGCCTCCAACGTTATACACAGAGTGGCTTCTGTGGGCAGATCACAGCTTACAAAGGACAGCCGAGCCAAGGTTTGAAGGTAAAGTTGTGTAACCAGAGGCTGGATTCTTAACTCCATCCTCCCTTCCAGCCACAGAGGGGGCACCAGGTATCAATATCCTCAAAAAATCTAAGTTTTGGAGCTCTCGGAGTTCAAGGGAATGTATGGGAGGGGATCTTGATGATGGTGTTCCCTGTGGAGACAGTGTAGTACCTGGTGATTCCCACTGCCAGCCTGCACACAGGCTGAGCTGCTTTTGCTCCAGGGCACCGTGCTGGGTCTTTACCCCACATATGGCTGAGCATCAGTGACTCCATATAAGAACTACTCTAGATGCGCCCTAGGGTCTCACTGTGTTGGGTCCTAGGCTATCTCCAGGGTTCAAAGGAAGGTACCTACTACCTTGGCTTCCTTTCATGGGTGGGAGCAGGGGAAAGCACAGTGTTGCTCACAATACTCACAAGGCAGAGTTATGGGTGGCCATGCCCTTTTCAGGCCACCGGATTTCTGGGAGGGAGGGGATGCGACCATCAGAAGAAGGCTGGACTTAGGGTTAGCATGGCAGAGGGAGGCTAAGCAGACTGGTTTGGGGGCTAAGAGCCATCTTCCATGACTGCAGCCTAACTCTGTCAGGCTTCCTCAGTGCCCAGCTGTCTATACCAGGACATCAGGAGACGGTGAGCCTGCTATAGAACTGGTGAGTCTTTCCAGTTCTATAGCAGAGTCCTTACCCTGCCCTTCTTACCCTTTGGCAGGCGGCTTCCTGTTGTCTCAGAAGAAAGCTCAGGTACCTCCCAGGGTCCCGAGGCCCTGTCAGGAGACTTGCCCTCTCTCTGCCTAGTCCATTCATAGGAAATCCCCGGGATGTCACAGGTTCAAACAGCCTCCTGCTATTTGATTATCTTGAGCTAATCCTTTAGAAATTCACCTAATGTCTGACTTTGCACTTCTTAGTGAGAGGCCATTTTGGCCCCTCCAGCTTATCCTGGTCTGTTCAGCACAACCCCATTACCAAGGGCCAAATTAAATAATTATTAACTAGAGACAGGGAGGCCAAGGCAAGCAGGCAAGGAAGAGGCTCCAAGCACCTGAGACGCCAGGCTGCTGGGCTGGGAGCTAAAGACAGATTCTTCATTTTGAAATGCACATCAAACAAGTTAAATAACTCTTACTTTCTATAACAACATGTTTGTCAGAGTGCATGATCTGGATTTAGCCTCCTGCCAACGGTCTCCTCGGTCTGACCTGACGTGTGCGTCAAGGGATTTTGTTCCGACAGAAACAGCATGCAATCAATAAAATCTTATTACATGGATTTATGCACTGCTTTCAAACCCAGTGCTAGTCCAGACTCTGCCTTAAACTGTAATTGAAAATAAATCTCGGATACTCGGATTTCGGTTTCGGGATGCAAGGATGGAGTAGGAGGCAGGGCCTTCCCTGTGGGGCCTGGCCGGGAAGCATGTCCTGTGGTCGGCTCACTCTCCTGGCCAGGGGAGCATGTCCTGTGGTTGGCTCACTCTCCTGACCAGGGGAGCAAGTCCTGTGGTCAGCTCACTCTCCTGGCCAGGAGAGCATGTCCTGTGGTCGGCTCACTCTCCTGGCCAGGGGAGCATGTCCTGTGGTCGGCTCACTCTCCTGGTCAGGAGAGCATGTCCTGTGGTCAGCTCACTCTCCTGGCCAGGGACTCTACAAACAACAGCACGGCATCTACTCTGCGGAGGACTGAGGGCTGCTAGTCTGGCATGATGCCAGGCAACCACAGGCAGCTGCAAAGTGGCATCCTACACTTGGGCTCCTGGTTCGCAAAGCTTTGGGGACCTAGGACTACCTGTCCTGTGGCTGCCTGTCACATCTGCTGCAGTTCTGTCTCCCAGCAGCTGCAATCCCACCTGGGCCTCTCTTGTTTGGAAGAAGTGGCTGGGGCAGGTAAGGGGAGGTATCATGACCTTGGCAGAGGGCGTGCCTATGGCAGAGGGGAGCCAGCTGTCACTGGCACCAAAGCAGAAAGCCTCTGAGACCTGAGCCTGGGGGCAGAACCTAGGAATCTATTAGAATGAGCAGGAAGTAAAAGCAAAACACACAGAATAACTTCCCAGGATCCTAAACCTCAGCAAAAGCTGTCCAGAACAGTGGCAGACCAGACACAGGGAGGAAACCCTCAGACAATAAACAATAGTTTATTTGTTTGACTTTTAAAGAAATAAATCCTAAAATAGGAGAAAACAGAAGAAATTATATTTAAGAAGTTGAATGTCAGGAAGCAGACAGGCTGAAGATCAAGAATTGGAGAGGCTGGCAGGAGCTCCACGTGGCAAATAAAGAACAGAAGTGTGTACTTATCACTGGCCTCTGGATGCCCTGAGTAAAAGAGCAGGGCCTCAAGAAGAAACTGTAGTACCTGAGACCTATGGATCCTGAGCTTTCCAGCACAATCAGGCAGCATCCACCAGCCCGAGCTCACCAGGGCCAAGACAGCCTGTGGACTAAACAGGCTGTGGGCACCATCTTTGGGAGTAGGGTTCAGCAGGGGATGGCAGAGTATGAGTTACCAAGTGGCAATACCAGTTCATCTCCTGGAAATGGGTCAGCATCCCAGAATCCACCAGCGAGGCTTGGGGGGAGGGACGGGAAGGTTTCCACACTAACACTGTCCTGGAGTCTGATTCGCTTGGCTGTGATTGGGTTGCCTGGGCTGGGACAGTCTAAGCCACGGATAGGCACAACTCAGATTTTAAAAAGCTTGCAAACTCCTGCCTGATTCACAGCTCACTGAGTAGGAACAAGCCAGGGTTAGAGTCCGTCAGTACTCATACCATTCTGGTACCAGGTTGATGAGGCCACCTTCGTGTAGCATACACAGCACCTGAAGCCAGGGACTTGCCATTGGGAGCAAAGCATCCAGTGCCAGGTGAACTCCTTTATCTTGTTTCCTCCAGTCAGGGTGTACTGGTATTTTCTAATCCTTCCAGGTGACAGTCACACAGCGAGGCAAGAGCAGGAAGCTCAAGAGTCAGAAATGAAGCCCCGCACATGCTCCATTGACTGCAATGGCACTGAGCAGTTTCAGAGTCTATGGGAAGACTACTAGAGCTTGATCAATCAACAATTGATCTAAAAACTTGAAGCTCTCCAATACATCGATAGGAGCCACTCAGCAGAGCTAAGGAGACTTCACAGCAGCACTTGGTACTAACCTTAACCAAACACACACAGAACCTCATAGAGAACTGGACACACGCTGCGAGCAGAGGAGGAACTGGGGCCTTCTGCCCAGATGGCAGTGCAGATGGGGGTGGTCGCTTCCTTGCCTGGCTATCCTGGCCAACATAGGGTATGTGGCAGGTAACAGACAGTGTCATCAATAGAGGGTGGCCTCTTCCAGGCTAAACTCTGGCTTCTGCATGTCCCAAGTCCCCATGGAAATCCATGTTGGGGCAGCACAGCCTGTCTGGAGGATTCCGACCCCAAGACACCCAGCGCCTCTGGGGTTTTGTCAGCTCACGCCCTCCCTGATGCTCTCCTGATGGGCACACCAGCACAGACTGCCCATCATGTACAATTACTATGGTGCATGAAGGCAAAGTTGGCTCCGAGCCCAGGTCCTGACTGATTCCATTCCTGCAGATAAACAGCCAGCCTCTGCCCACCACGCAGGGGACTCACAGACCCTGGCTCACAGCACTACCACTCCTATGGAGGCACAGGTAAAGGTCAATAGGTCACAACTGAAGAGGAGACCGTCTAAAGCCAGGTGTTCGAGACACTCTGCAGCCCGGAGCTCCGAAAGCACATGATGGTCTAGTGTAGATCAACATGGAAGGGCAAGAGCCCCAAGGCCAGCCACACACAATAGCAACAGCAGGGCCCCAACATCTGTACACGGAAGGCCCTTTTGGAAGAGCAAATGTATTTATCTCTTTCTCCCCGTGGCCTAGAAGTTCTAGGTGACTTTCCTCAGATCAGGGACTATTCTCTAAGGCCCTCCACAGCTGGGGCCCTCCTTTGTTGGTTTGTTAGTAACCATACATGTTACCTGTGCACACTAATGGCATTGATTAGCTCGTAAGATTCTAACCACTCTGCTGTAGAAATCTGACCTTGCTCTTTAGCCTTGGTGGCCCTCAACCAACCCCAGAAGAGCTGCCGCTTCCTCCTGTCCCCCCACAAACAGTGTAACTCCAGACTCCAGGCTCACCTGTTACTGCCTGCCTGGACCCCCAGCTACAGAATCACAGGGCAGTAGGTAGGCCATGCATTCCAAAGAGTTTTGTTGGAAGTCACAGAGTTAGGAGGACTAATTTTGGCAGCGAGGGAGGTCTCTGTCCTTCCTGAATAGCCACCAACCTTGTGAGTTCCTCTGCGTATTCTCTGGGGCAAGAATAACTGCAGAAAGTAGGGTGGGGAAGGTGGGAGCTTTAGGGATCAGGTGGGTGACCCCCCTCTCATCTGGACCCAGAGGATGACCTGGGAGAGGCTGTGGATGAGGCCCTTCCCAAGAGCCAGCACGGTTTTCTTCAGCTTGTGCCACAACCCGAATGGCAGGAGGGACAGCTAGGGAAAGGGTTAAGTTTAATTTATCCTGATTTCTACTTAATATCATGCTCTCCCCGTAGGAGCGGCAGCTGCGAGCTGATTGCGCGCTCTCATTATGCAGTCTGTATCGCTAATGGCCTGTGACAAAGGCTTGCCAGCTCCCGGCCTTACCCCCGAGAGCCAATTAAACACACACACTCCCTTCCTGTTTGCAGCACGTTACAATGAAATTAAACTGAATTTCAAAATCGTTTTCTCCTGAAGACATCTCTTTACAATAATTAATGCATGCTATTCCTTTTCAGCAGAAAGGCCCACCCGGAGTGCTCACTGCCCACGTGGCTCCTGCTGCACCCCAGGGCTCCATGAGTCCCGACATCAGTAAAACCTATAGGGCTTGCACCCTGAGTTTTTAAAGGGAAGAACACAGCTTTTTATCCAAACCTAAACATAGGAAGGTGATCACAAAGGAAGTCGGGATTCCCGCAGGGATTGTTCAGAAGGCTGCTGGAGGGGCCTGCTAAAAGCAGGGTTCACTCAAAAGCAGGGTTTCCTAGGCACTGCAGTGGAGGGACAATTGCGGGAGGTTTGTTTCCTCCAGATAGCTGGTATTAACCAGGATGTTTACAGAGGGAGCTCCGGGGAGCCGCGTGTTATATGCTTACCACTGTCCATCACTAGTCTACCGATATAATCACGTCAGGTTCCCCAACCCTGAACTGGTGACACCCTGGAACAGTGGTGGGCGGCTTGTGGGTCTCACGTGTGGACCCTGGGCCTTTCCTGAAGGTGCGGGATTGATGCCCCTACCTACCTAGGGTATACTGGCCCAAGGTGGCTGGGATAACATAAGCTTCCGGGGTCACCAGACTGAGGGTGACCTCCATCTCAGATAAGCCAGTACCCACTCAGGGCACAAGGCCCCCACAAAGCTTTGCTTCCCAAAAGATCATGGGTAAAACCACCTCTGTCACAAAGGCCAGGATGTCACATGGAAAACAGGCCTTTTCCTTCTGGGAAGTATTACCTTGAGAGCTAGAGAAGTTAGCATGTGCACGAACATGTTAGAAATACAGAAGGGCAAAAAAGAAAAACATAGGCAGATCTCTGTGTTTGAGGCCAGCCTGGTTTACAGAGCAAGTTCCAGAATAGCCAAGGCTACACAGAGAAACCCTATGTCAAAAAGAAAAAAGAAAAACTACCAGAACCTTGATATCCTGAGGTCAGTAACTCACATGACTTTGATGAACTTCCAGGTAAAAAACATGATACCAGCAGACGGACACAGCTGTACAGCCGCCATCTCCAGCACAGGCATACCGCCTTCAGGACATGGGATTCCCACAAGATGAGGCGGGGTCTCGGGAGAACTGACACAAGGGTGGGGAAGTCACAGTATATGCTGTGTGTCTCCCAGGCTGCTGGGGTCCCCTGTACCATGAGCCCCACAGGCCACACAAAACAGACCAAACTGGAATATGCAAATTAATAACCAAACCAAACCAAATCAAGGTAAGCGAAACTGCTTCTGACCTCAAGGTTGGGAGGGGAGATTTTCAGCGCAAAAGTGTGGCTGTGTGGGCGCACAGGAGTGGTGGGGTTCCCAAGACGGAGTGGAGGTCCTGACCTTAGGGGCAATAGGACCAGAATCAGGCGGCATCAACAGGGCTGTAGCAATGAAGCCAGCTGGCAGAGGGATAGTATATGAGCTATGTCGTGGGGACAGGGGCTCCGGACTCTTTATAAGGGCAGTGGGCCCTCAGACCCTCCTTCTAGTAGCTGGTAGGAGGCTGGGGCACCCAGAAGGGTATCAAAACAGCCTTCAGTGGAAGTCCTAGAATACACAGGCTACGAGACACCGGCATGGACCAGACCTTCCTCGATCATTTCAGAGCTCGGTCCTACCTGTTCTGAACCAGCCATCCGGAGTGAAAGCCTTTTCCGTTTCATCCGGCTTATCCCAGTATTCTCGGAACACAGAGGGTCCCCTAACTAGCAGCTCTCCTTCCTTTTCCTCGAACCCTGGGGTCACCTGCAGAAGGTAGGAGAGACAAGCAGGTCAGAGCAGGGCAGCACTGGGGTCTCTGCTGCTCCTGTACCCCACTACTGATCCAGGCAAGCGGTTTCCACCCACACCACAGACCAAATGTTTTTTGAAATTAGACAGTTGGAAATCTTTGAAAACCACAGCCGTCAGCGGATGGACCTCAATCATGCCCAAGCCTAGGGCTCCTCCTCCGTCCTTAGCCTGGACCAGAGGTGGAGGTAGGTGTCTGCCCACTCTTAAAAACTGTTCCTGAACCTCATTTCTGTGCGCTTCTCAGAAATACCCAAGCAGCACCCCAGCACAGCCTGTGGGCAGTGACAGCTTCCGTCCAGAGTAACCAACCAAGGGATTCCTAGATGGCAAGAACATGTGGCCACGCTGGTACTGTCACGGAGCCTGTTGTGGTCATGCTGTGCAAACTGGCCTGGTGAGATCAGCACAGTCACACCTGTATGTAATGCTTGAGGCGGGGGGTAAACGAAGCTGCTGCCTAATATGTCCAGTAATCTACACTTCTCACTGGTATCAGAGGACGATCCTTCTACTCTTCTATTTCTTGAGACAAGGTCTTGTTCCGTAGCACAGGCTAGTCTACAACTCATGACGCGTCCAGACTGGCTGCAAACTGGTGGGTGAAAGAGCCTGCTGTCTAACCTGACGATTTGAGGTTGATCCCTGGAACCACGTCAAAGGAGAGAACCAACTCTCACAAGCTGTCCTCTGACCTCTATATGTGTGCTGTATTACATACATGCGCACTCGGGGACACACATACACACACACACACACACACACACACACGGGTGCCTACTTCTTGTTTCTATGAGACACAATAATGGAAATCCTAATTAGAGAAGTAGAAAAATAAATAAAATTTTGAAAAGAAGTTAGCATATATGAAAATCCCAACATGTTACAAATTAAATCAAACAATCTCCGTGAACTAGTGGGTGGATTCAGCCAGAATATAAAAGGGTGTGAGCATGCCCATCTACACTAGCTCTATCTCTACAGACTAGTGATGAACAACCAGAGACCAGCACTTGCAGCCCTGTGTTATTTGAAACAGAAGATAAAGAAAAGGAAGAGGGAAGCTAAGAACCATTTGACTATGTCTACACCACCTGTCTGCTGAACACGGCACACACACAATGGTAGGTCAGCTCTATGGAAAAGGAAAGACATGCCATGTTCAAGGACTGGGACTTAGTAGTTGTTAATGTTCCCTGCATTGATTCACAAGTGTAATATGATTCCAATTAAGAACCCCAAATGACTTTCTGTAGATATAAACAAGCTAGTTCTAAGACTGAAGGGCAAGGAAGATGGCTCAGTGGAAAGCCCTTGCCATGGGAATGTGAGGATTGGAGTCTGCATCTCCAGAACCTATGCAAAAGTCACATGTGGTCAATTGTGTCTCTAATCCAAATGGTAGAGAACAAGAAGAGAACCCGTAAGACAGAAGAAACACCTGAGGTTTTCTTCTGAGCTCCACATGCATGCCATGGCATGTGTGCACCACCCCCCCCCCACACACACACAAATAAAGCATTGCTATGTGTAGGATTGTAGGGAGGGAGCTCAGTGGTGGAGCACTTGCTGAGTAGGTACAGGTCCTGGATTGAATTCCCAGCACCACAAAGCTTAAATTTAAAGATTGACATTTGGAGCTAAAGTAACTTTGAAAACAACGAATTAAGTTGTTAGATTTTACTACCATCCCAGGGCACACAGGGCACACATTCACTCGTATGTCTAACTGACATTCATCAGGGTTGCAAAGGCAAGCTAATGAGGAAAATGGTCTTTTCCAAAGATTACAGTTGACTGGCTGGATAGCCATCTTCATTTATATACTAGGCAAGAACTCACCTCAGCTACAACACAGACTGAACACTGAATCAGGCTTTCAGCAGCAAACCTCAGGAAGACCTGCAGTTCACAGGCATGACACCTGAAAGCTGAAGCCACGGAAGAAAGAAGGAAAGTAGCCTTGATCAAAATTTAAAACTGGGATCCACACAACACAGGAGAATTCAAAAGCAAACCACAGAATGGGAGAACTGGCAAATCATGTATCCCAGACAGAACTCCTTTTTTTTTTTCTTACTTATTTGTATTTTTTTCCTTATTATTTTTATTGAGCTCTCTATTTTTTTTTCTGCTCCGCCTCTTCCTGCCTCTCCCCTCCCCTTCAACCCTCTCCCATGGTCCCCATGCTCCCAATTTACTCAGGAGATCTCCCGACAAAACTCTTAAAACAGTACAGCAAATATCCTGTTCTGAGCTGGGCGGTGGTGACGCAGGCCTTTAATTCCACCACTCAGGAGGCAGAGTCAGGTGGATCTCTGTGAGTCCGAGGCCAGCCTAGTCTACAGAGTGAGTTCTAGGATAGTCAAGACTACACAGAAAAACACTGTCTCGAAAAAATATATCCTGTTTATTAATTGTTGTTCTCAGTGTCTGTGTTACTGGGGTTATAATTAGCAAGTGGTCTCCTGTGCCAACGCGTTCAAGTGTACTTCCCACTTTCTCTTCATAAATGGAACCTCCTGAAACTGACAAACTTCTGTAAAGCAAAGGACACCATCAACAAGACTAAATGGCAGCCTATAAAATAGAAAAAGATCTTTACCAACCCCACACTGGATAGGGGAATGATATCCAAAATATACAAGGAACTCAACAAACTTGACATCAAAAGAACAAATAACCCCCCCCCCCCCCTGGGGACAGACCTAAACAGAACTCTCAACAGATGAATCTCAAATGGCTGAAAGACACTTAAGGAAATGCTCAATATTCTTAGCTATCAGAGAAATGCAAATCAAAACAACTCTGAGATCCAAATCTTACACCTGTCAGAATGGCCATGATCACATACATACATACACACATACATATACATATATATACACACATACATACATATACACACACACACATACATACATATACACACACATACATTTATCTCCTGTTCCGATTCTGTAATGATCAGGACAGGCTAAACATCTACTAGAGCAAGACCACTCATGTGCCCAGACCTAGAGAAAGAACTTGGGTCTGGTTTTCAAATGCTGGTGACAAACCAAGTAAAATGATAAAACAACAAAGACACATCCCTAGCATCGAGAAAGTAACACTATAAAATGATCCGAAGTGCAGAGCAGCCACTCGAGAGAACACTGCAGAGAAGTGGGTGCCCGCAAAGACGGGTGGCACCTTAGCCCCTGCAGCTAAGCACGTGTTGGGACTACACACTACTACACAAGCGCTAGAAGCTGCCAGCATCTAGGATAATGGTCAGGGGCAAATTCCAGACAATCTCAAGGGCTGGGAGGACCTGCAGAACAGACAGCATCTCACGTGCAGGCGGGAATGTGAAGCAGCACAGGCCTCTGCAGGAGCGGTGTGGGTAGCTCCCCAGCGTGCCACGGCATGTGAACAACACCCCACTCCCAGGCACTTTCCCTGGAGAAACAGATTCTTAGCTGCAGAAGAAAACCTCGAAATTAACATCCATCAAAACTGTTCATCATAACCCGAGTCTGGAAACAACCTGTGCTGGTCAGTTTATTGACACCTGATGTCTGGGAGGAAACACAACTTGAGTGGAGAGCTGAGCTGGGCTGGGCTGTCTGGACCGAGTGCTGGAAGGAACTTTACACCACAGTAGGGGCTCTGGGCGCGGCTGCTATACTCTATTGATGTATTAACCCACAGCATGGTCATTCCAGGCCTCGTGTCCACACAGGTGTCCTCCTTCTACCTACAGATCCATACATCCCAATAAGGCCATTGATTACAGCCACCTGCTGTGTCTGTGGCACCAGAAGCAATCCTCGATACCTCTCAGTGGGCAGCCATCTTATCACACCCCGCCTTCCCTTACAGACACTTCCCTAGGGACCCTGCCAAGTTCTAATGTCTTAGCGGGGCTCTCCCAGGCACCATGGTTTAGCCAATCTTGATAGTAAATATCACCCATTTAAATACCACTATGTGCTTTCTGTTCGACTGGAACCAAACACACACTCTGCTAACTCAGGAACAGGAGACACTGCTCTGTGCGGGAGTCACCTCACTCCTGCGGCTAGGAAAGCAAGCACCATAGCCCTACTGTGTAGGGCTTTAAGATCTAATAAGTGATGAAATAAAACTTGACGAGGCCATGTTCCTTACAAAGCCAGGTATACAATGCCAATCAAAACCCCTTGCCCCACACAGCAGATCAGTGCCTGACTCATGTGGTGGGCAGGCAGCAGGGACGGGAACCTTCAATCAGGACATTTCCTCGAATCTTAACTTCAGCTTCCATACAATATGAAACGAGAGACATGTATTCCCAAGCAAGAGGAATGAACTAGAAGCACACCAGCTTGACCCTGAGAAACTGTCTGTGCCCCGCCATGGCTGTGGCTCTTCTGCCACGGTACCTTTGATTCTGAGACACGGATGCTCTGGGTTCCTGAAGATGTGTGGGGTCATGCCAGCTTTCAACTCGGCATCAGCACCCAAAATCACAGAGCAGAGTCAGGGTCCTTAGGGTCCTTAGGACATTAGCTCCCCAAGACACTTGGCTCAATTTTGCTTGACACCCAGTCCAATCCTCTCCTCAGACACCTCACACAGGCTCACCATGTCCAAGGCCACAGTTAGATACACACCAATCCTAACTGCTCGTGGGGACATGGGCTACTGTCTAGTTTTAGTGTACACCCCCGCTACACTGTCACAATGGGATATGCCTAGTAGCCACCACGAGAAACGAATACTTCACTCACGGGAAAGTAGTTAGATTCCCAGACTGTGCCTTGCTGGCTGGAAGCTGGCAGCAGCACTGGACGCTTCTCCCTGCCACCTGCAAACGCTGCACAGCCTGACCTGACACCTACAACCATGTACACCCAGGACTGTGGTGGTCCATCATGGTAGAATCACACTGGAAGATGCTGGAATCCCAGAAGGCCGGGCCCCATACG